TCTTCATGGGCGGAGGGCGAAGTCGTTGCCGAAGGCCGTGTGGGACGGGAGGGCGTGGGAGAGTCTTCAGAGACACAGCGCCTGCTGTGTGCCGGGCGCCGCTCCAGGATCGGGGAGTGGACAGGGGAACGGAAGGGACTAAAGCGGTGCCCTCCCGAGCTTCCACTCTGGTAGGGGTGACAGGAAAGGAGATTAGAGAAATGCGTGGTGTGTGAGATGGTAAGTGCTAAAGGGAAAAGTGAACCGGGCAGGAGGCCTGGGAGCGGGGCAGCCTCGGGGTCGGGGAGAGCCTCGCCGAGAAGAGACGGTGGGGCCAGGGCTGGAAGGAAGTGAGGGACGGCTCCCGGTCCGGCACGGCGGGTTCCAAGGCCCTGGGGTCGTTGGCGGAGCGTGCGCGGTGGCCGCGAGGTTGGAGAGGGCTGGAGGCCGGGAGGCCGTCAGGGGTTTATTGAGTGAGGCGGAAGGGGGAGAGGATTTTTTTAAGAAATGGATATGCAGGCCGGGCGCGGTGGCTCACGCCTGTAATCCTAGCACTCTGGGAGGCCGAGGCGGGAGGATTGCTCGAGGTCAGGAGTTTGAAACCAGCCTGAGCAAGAGCGAGATCCCGTCTCTACTATAAATAGAAAGAAATTAATTGGCCAACTAATATATAAAAAATATATATATATATATATAAATTAGCGGGCATGGTGGCGCATGCCTGTAGTCCCAGCTACTGGGAGGCTGAGGCAGGAGGATCCTTGAGCCCAGGAGTTTGAGGTTGCTGTGAGCTATGACGATGTCACTGCACTCCTAGCCTGGGCAACAAAGTGAGACTCTGTCTCAAAAAAAGAAAGAAAGAGAGAGAGAGAGAGGGAGAGGGAGAAAGAGAAAGAAAGAAAGAAGGAAAGAAAAGAAAAGAAAGAAAGAAAGAAAGAAAGAAAGAAAGAAAGAAAGAAAGAAAGAAAGAAAGAAAGAAAGAAGAAATGGATATGTAATTCACAAAACATGAACTTCACCATTTTAAAGGAGGCAATTCAGCAGTTTCTACTATATTTGCTGTGCTGTGTAGACGCCACTATGATCTAATTCCAGAACGTTCTCATCACCCAAATAAGAAACCCCACAGTCATTAGCGGTCACTCCTCACTCTGTCCCCATGCCGCGTGCACAGGCAGCGCGGCTCCGCTCTGTCTCTGTGGGTCTGGCTCTCTGGGCACTCCGTGTAAGTGCAGCTGCGTACCGCGTGCCCTTTGTGTCCCGCTGCTTCCGTCTGACGTGCTTTCAAGGGTCACCCGTGCTGTAGCGTGTACCGGTGCTTCATTCCTTTTCCCTGACGATCGTATCCCGTCCTGTGGACAGTCCCGTTGCGTTTGCTCATTCATCAGCTGACGGACGTCGGGTTATTTCTCTCTCCTTTTGGCTGTTGCGAATGAGGTACAGGTTTTTGTAGTGGCATGTATTTTCTTTTGGGTATCTTGCCGGGTCATAGGGTTCCTTTTGAGAGCTACCAGGCTGGTTCCCAAAGTGGCTGCACAATTTCACCTTCCCACCAGCGGCGTGTGGGGGTTCCAGCTGCTCTGCGTCCCTGCCAGCCCCAGTCGCTTTCCATTTCTGCGACGGTCGCCGTCCTCGTGGGTGTGCAGCGGTACAGCAGAGCGTTCGGGGCAGGGAGGGCTTTGGTTTTAACCGAATCCGTCAGAGGAGTAGATGGAAGGGGCGCGGAACAGGAAGCAAGGGACCAGCGGTCAGGCTACTGCAGCAGTCCTAGCGAGAGCTGGCGGTGCCCCGTACCAGAGCGGAGGCGCAGGAGGTGGGGAGAAGCGGTCAGATGGGGGTAGGGACATTTCGAATACAGGACCGAGAGGCTTTGCTGGCAGACTGGATGGGAGGGGAGCGGAGAGAAGGAACAGTCAAGTGTGCTCTGAAGTACTTGGCTTGAGCAACTGGACAATGGAGTTCCCATGTGTTGAGTTGGAAAAGATCATGGCTAGAGGATCTCTGTGTGTTTCCTTGTGCCAGTCACTTGGCAGGCAGGGTCAGCCCCACGTCGCTTTCTTGGCACGCCCTGCTGGGAAGCTGGGGCTGGCACTTTGGGAGAAGGGGGAGCGCAGGGGAAGAAAGCAAAACCATATGATTCACACGCGTTCAAGACAAGCCCACGTGCCGTCCCCGCCGGTCGTTCCCTGAATGTCGCTACAAACAAGCCTTTTCCCTTTCTCCCCTCCGCGTGGAGCGCTTTATGCCCGGGGAGCTGCAAAGAACAGCCAGGGCATTCATTCTGCTCCCGGGCTGGGGCACGTGGGCTGCAGCCTGCGGGACTCTCATTTCTGAGGCCACTTAGGGGATTATCTTGAGGGAAGATCGTCCCACGAACGATCTGTGGGCACGGTGGGCTGGCTAATCCTGGGTGCCTTCCTGTTGGCTGGGAACGGCTTGGTCTCCTTTCTCCCTTAGCTGCCCAGTCAGCTAATGCACCCTTTGTTCCGCCCTGCTTTTGGGCACTGCCCTGGGTACCAGGGGGTGAGGTGGGGGAGAGAGACCGTAGCTGACAGGCAGCAGTAAAGGGGACACATCCCTGCATTCCCTCAAAGAGGATCCTGGTAGTCACAAGCTTCAGTTCTAGAGTCAGATTGCTCAAATTCTGGCTTCAATTATTCATTAGCTGTGTGACCTTGAGCAAGCGACTTAACGTCTCTGATCTTCTGTTTCTCAATCCATGAAAGCGGGGGGATAGTGGCACCTACTGTGTAGGGTTCTTGTGAGAATCAAATGAGCTAATCCACGTGTAGTGATTAGCCGTGGTTTTTATTATCCAGTGAGAGGCACACACAAAGCAGCCCCTCCTCACGAGCCTGGTGTGCGTCCGCACTCAGGTGAATGATTCAGCCAGGTTCATCACGGCGCGTTTACCTTCCAACCGCCCTGCCCAATGGGTGTGACGGCTCCTGTCCCAGGCGAGCCGGCTGCAGCGAAAGGCAGACGTTAAGCTTGGGTTAAGGTCGAGCAGCTGGCAGAGGGGAAGGTGGGGTTTGAACCCAGGACTGACGTGGACATGCCACGTCCTTTCTGAACATGCCAGTGTCGGGCGAGACGTGCTCCCGACAAGCAAAGAGAGCACCTTGGGAAGCAGGCGTCCCGCCCAGCCAGGGCCGTGGGTTTGGTGGTGCCCACGCACGCTTTGCTTTCCTGAGCGGGCCTGTGTCTAGACTGGGATCTGGGTTGTCTACACCATGCTCCCAGGGACTCCCTGTCGCCCCTCGTGCCCCCCTTTTCTTGTGCTTTCCTCTGGATCAGAAGCAACAACCGACCTTCCCCTTCTCCCCCTCAGTGACCTCTGGCTCATCTTTCTCCCTCAGCGCGGAAAGGACGTTTTCTAACCACAATTCCACTTTTGGGAGGTGGGGGTCTCTTTCACGTCTCCCGGCCTTGCTCCACCACCCCCCGTTGAGGGGCAGAAATAGTCCCAGCTGTGAGGCGAAGGTTCCAGAGTTAAAATTGCAACTTGGTGCTATTTATACTCCAGCCCGAAAGATGTGGGTTTTTTTTTCTTTTTGTGCAGTCGTTTATTTTGTTGTGGCATCGACGCTCATGCCGCAGGCGGCAGGCGCTGGCGCTGTGTGAACGTTTCTCTGGGCGGAGGAGGGTGGTGAGGGCGTCTTCAGGTGCGGGGGTGGGGGCGAGGCCACCCCTCCTTGGAGCAGAGCCACGTGGCCTGGTAAGCCAGAGACAGTGGTTCGTGTTCTGGGTGAACTTCATCTCTGGATGCCTGGCCATTACGACAGCAACGACAAAAACCGGTATTTTATAAGTCATGAACGTAGTACGCACGCGAGGGGGGGAAAGCTCAAACTGAGTTTTGCGCGAGGGAATAAAGCGGGGCTTGCACCCCGACAGGCCCTCTCAGTGTTCACAATCGGCTTGGCCCGTGGAGTGTTAAAGATTTTCCTTTCTGGATGTGTGCCAATATTTAAAAATTGGGACATTTCCCATCAAATTAGAATTTCTGACTTCTCCTGGAAGATGGAAAGACCTAGCTGCCCTGGGCCGGTGTTTATTGATGGCGGCTAGTGGCTCTAGAACTAGACACCCCTCTCAGGTGACCACAAGCTCCGATGACCTGTTTCACTCATTCATGTCACTGCCTGGCCCTTCAAATATCATAAAACATTTAAGTCGCCGTTGTCGGAGCCCATTCCCCATCCCTACCCCCCAGGCTGACGGAAGCACTATTAATAGGGTTTCCAAAGAAACTATGGCATGCCCAGTTAAATTTGAATTTCAGATAAACAACCAATAATTTTTAGTATAAGCATGTCTCACCAGGTATGGCGGCTCACAATCCAGCTACTCATGAGGCTGAGATGGGAGGATTGCTTGAGCCCAGCCTGGGCAACATAGTGAGACCCCATCTCTTAAAAAAAAAAAAAAAAAAAAAAAAAGCATGTCCTTTAACTATTAAAGATTAGGCACATATCGTTCCAGGCCTTTCTCTGTTGAACCACGTACATTTCTGTGTGTGGTTAAAAAGATAGATTTGTAACCAACACCTCCAGCACCTTTCTTTTCTTCCCCGGCTGCTACTCAGGGGGGCATGTTGCGGAGTTTATCAGAGCAGGCTCTGAGGCTGTGGACCCCAGCCTACATTAGAATCCCGGCCCCATTGCTTGTTCACTGTGTGACCTTGAGCAGCTTACTTCACCTCTCTGAGCCTCAGTTTGCTCATCTGTACAGTGGGGAGGATAAGGGTAGCTTTGTTACTTCCAGTTAGCATTTATTGATCTCGTCTCTTCTGAGGGCCGCATAGCGTGGGTTGTCTGCGTGGGCTTTAACCAGTCCTCCATGGAGGGGAGTTGACTGCTGCCAGCGTATTGCTATTTCAGACCAGGCTACGGAAAGGGGTCTAGAAGGAACTGGGCACATAATCCTAAGATTTAGTTTGCTTTAAAAAAAAAAAAATGAAGGGTGTTTGTCTCCCTGGAAACCACTTGCTAATCTCCAGGATATTGTCTCTCTTTCAGGCGAAGGAGGTGGAGGAGACCATCGAGGGGATGCTCCTGAGGCTGGAAGAATTTTGCAGCCTGGCTGACATGGTGAGCGCCTGCCCGGGAGGCCAGGCCCAGGCCCAGGCCCGACTCCGGGCCTGATGGAGTTTTCAGGGGACGCCATTTTGGTGGTGATTTAGCAACCAGAAGGAATGGGGCAGCGGCCAGCGGTGAGAGGAAAGCCTCTCTCTCTCTTTCTCTCACATACACACTCTCTCTCTCACTTTCTCTCTCACACTTTCTCTCTCACACACATCCTCGCTCTCTCAACCCCAAGTGCTTCCTGAGGCAGCCATCTTGTTCGCGTCCGTCCCCCGAGATGGTTTTATTCCGCAGAGGAGCCCGGAGCGGGCCACAAGGTGGCACTCTCGGGCACCGATGCGGGGAGCCGTTCAGTGGGGATGCTAGGACTATATTTAACTTTCCTCCGCTCTGCACAGTTCGCTGTGCAAACATGGAGACAGCCAGGAAATGGCTTCAGGCCTGCGAGGCCTAGGAGGAGCCTCTTGCCCGGGCCACAGCTCGCGGTGGCGGGGTTGGGCATCAAGTTCCTTCCTGAATCCTTTTGTTCTCCCAGCTTTTGCCTCCTGCCCTGTTTTGTTGGCTCAAATCCCCCAGGCCGGGTGGGGAAGAAGACAGAAGACAATGCTTTAGGCCCGGAAGACCAAGTCTCTACTCCAGATTCCCTGAGAAGTCGCCTCTAGGTCCTCGTGTCCCCAGGGCTGTTGCCAGCCCAGTGTGTAGCCCCTAGGAGCAGGGATGGAATTTTCTAGGCGTTCCCAAGCTTACTAGAGGCAAACCAGCGACCCAGGTTTGAGGCTTCTACCAGGAGGCCCAAAGGATAGAGCTTCGTGGGGCGACCAGGCCTGCCTTTCCCCGTGCAGGGCAAGCCTGGCCGCCAGGGCCCCGTGGCGTAGACTCAGACCCCCGCGGAGAGCAGCGTCCGGCACCTGAGAGGCATCTGTGAGAGTCCTAGTGTGGAACAGTGACAACGGCCCCGGACACTTATGAGCCCCTGCCCTGCGCTGGGCTCTGTGTGCAATAGCACAACCGCGGGCGCTGTGTGCTGTCCCCGAGAACTCCACAGACATCTGGTACCTGCCCGGCTCGCCCTGGGCCACCGCAGTGAGTGGGACAGACACGATCCCAAGAGGACCTATGTGCTTGTCCCTCTTTTTAAAGTTCTGCCATGGGTCCAGGTGGGAGCTAGGTAATGAGACGGGCTTTTAACGCCTGGGTAGTCCTTTCCTCGTCACTAAACATCGGACACTTCTCGTGAAGGGGCCCCATGATGAGCTGGAGGCCACAGAGAGACTTCGATCTGTCTCTGTCCCCACCAAGCCCCAGGTTCCCGGGAAGGCTTCGCAGAGCAGGTGGCGATTAATTTGGGGCTGGAAGGAGGAATGGAAAGAATTCAACAGACGGGAATAGAGGGCGTCCAGGCAGAGGGATCCGCCTGTGCAAAGGCAGGAAGGCCAGGGACGTGGCGTGGCTGTCACTGTGTGGAGAGTGCTGCCCGCAGGCAGGGAAGGCAAGTCTGGAAGACGGTGTGGACGGGTGCTCTGGGGACACTCTTGTTCCCAAGTCCCACCTCAGCATCCCTGTGGGCGTCCTGTGCAAGGAGCCCCTTTATCCAGCCTGCGAGGAGAGCTGGGGCAGGCGTCCGCTTGGACAGGCGGAGAGAGGCCCGTTCCACCCGGCCCTGGAAACCATCACGGCTTTCCCGGTGGGATGTACGTGTCTGTGTCTCCGGGAGACCCAGGATTGCAGGCAGTGCCGGGAAGGTCTTCCTCACTTGGAGCCTGGAGACGCTCTCTGCAAAGATTTTAGTTCTGAGGCCATGCACGAATGACCCATGGGCCCAGTCCTGCCTGCAGATATGTTTCTGGAAAAAAACAACAGAACATAAGCATTAGCTGCTGACATTTTGAGAGTTTCATGCAAAAAAATCTGGATTCCTGGCTTTTCTGAGAAATGTGAAGATGTAGCCCCCAGGGTGCTTATTTCTACCTGGCATGCATCGCCAAGGCACCTGGCACGCGAGCAGGCGAGCGGCTGCCCGCTGTGCGTCGCACGTGCGGCTCTCCCGCTTGTCAGAGCTGCGGCTGCTCCCCGGGGAGCCTCCCCACTCCACAGCCACCCCGTGCTCGTGTGTTTTTGATAGATTACATTCCCCTGTACTCTTGACCCTACTGAAAGTGTGAAAAATAAAGGCAGACCAAGAGAGTCCCACGTTCCAAGAAGCGGAAGAGAGTGTGCTTCCTTGTAGAAGTGGAGAACTTTCCATGTGTCTGTGTTGCTATGATGTACCCAGCCTGCACTGCAAATGTGATTCTGCTGGGCCCCTGCAGGCATCTGAGCTTGCAGCCCCTTGCAGGCGTGCTCTGTGCCAATGACATTTATATTATAGAAACCCTCTGCCCCTCTTAGTGGTTGGAGCTTGGCTCGCCTGCATGCTAGTGCCCTGGCGTCAGGGGCTCACGGCTGCAGAGACAGGTGGCTGGTCATCAGTCCTAGCGTGGCACCTCCTTTGCACTTTAGAGCTGCTTTAAAATCTAAGGTAGGGGCCAGTGATATCACACCATGGACCACTGCCCCTCGGGCCCCGGCCTCAGCCTTCAGAGACACTGTCTGATCAATTTAGAGGCCTGAGAGAAGCCAGACTCTGTGCTGCGTGATTCAGAGAGAAGCCACTTCCTTTCTGATACAATCAGGCTGTTAGAAATCAAAGTCCAGCTTCCTGTCTGATGTATTAATTCTTCCTCCAGCTTGACCTCGATCACTCTTTGTGACTGAAATTCGCTACTGCGTGCTGGGACCTGTTTTGACTCCCTATATGATGCCAATTGTTGGCACGTGGAGCTCTGCTGCTTCCCGCTGTGGGGCCTTGGGCTTGTCACTTTACCTCTCTGAATCTTTATCTTCTCCGTAAAATGGAGACCACGGTTCTGACCAAACTACCCAAAACTTAGTGGTGGAAACCAGCCAGTTTATGCTATGGGCTAAAGCAGGGTACGGGGCGGGGGGCAGCTCTTCCGAGCCACGTGTCACCTGTGGGGATGGGAATTTCAGGTTGGCTCCTTCATCACCCGTCTGGCACCGGGGTGGGATGGCCGGTCTGGCTGGGGACTGGTTGGTGCGACTTTCCTCCATGCCACCTCTCCGTGTGGCTGGCTTGGGCTTCCTCGCAGCATGGCCGTCTGGCCTCCCTGGAGCAGTTATTCCAATATGGAAGGAAGCAGGAAGTGGAAGCTGCCAGGTGCCCTGAGGCCTGGCTTTGGAATTTGACACAGTGGCACTTCTGTCGTGGTGTATTGGTCAGAGCAGTCACAGAGCCTGCTCTTAACCAGGGGAGAGGACGTGGACCCCCACCTCTTCATGGGAGGAACATAACCCACTACAGATGGTATCCATCTTGCCAGCCACAGGGGCTCGCACCTGTAATCCCAGCACTCTGGGAGGCCGAGGCGGGAAGACTGCTTGAGATCAGGAGCTCGAGACCAGCCTGGGCAAAACAGCGAGACCCCTGTCCCTACAAAAAATTAAAAAGAAAAAACAGATGGTATCCATTTCCAGAGAGTTATTGTGAGGAATAGCTGAGGCAGGGTATGTACTTTACCCCCACTAGAATGGCTAGAATTAAAAACCACCAACATACCAAGTGTCGGCAAGGATGTAGCGCAACTGAAACACTCATATGTTGCCGGTAGAAATGCAAAAAGACACGGCCAGTTTGGGAAACCATTTGGCGGTTTCTCATCAGCATACGCTCTACCTGTATCCCAGCAGTTCTAATCCTAGGTCGTTACCAGAGAGAACCGAAACAAGCGTCTACGCAAAGACTCATCCCCAAGTGCTCCTAGCAGCCTGGTTCGTTGTGCCCCAGGCTGGAAACGACCGGCATGTCCGCCCGCAGTGGAATGGGTAAATCAGTTGTCCGTTCCCGCACTGGAACACGACACGGTGATGAGAGAGAGCGGGCTGCCGCCCCGGCAACAGGGATGCGTCGTACAAACGTGGTGTTGGGTGAGAAGCCAGGCGCGAGAATACGTCAGTCTGCAGTTGGGGACCAGGCGACACTGAGGCACGGCGGTAGAAATCAGGTAGGGCCGGGTGCGGGAGGGGCCTGTGGCGGGGAGGAGGCCTGAGGGAGCCTGCAGGGGCGATGGATGTTCTGTGCGCGGCCTGGCGGTGGTGGCACAGGTGCAGACATCTGCACAGACTCGTCAAGCTGTCCACTCAGGACCTCACTGCCTGTCACTCACACTCAGTTAAAGACAGTCGCCGAGCACAGCGCCTGCCACGTATCACGGGACCAAGAAACGGCAGCTACTAATGCCGCCATCGTCATCGTCCAAGCCGGAGGGCCGGGGCGCTGGCCATGTTGCCACAGTAACGGGATTTGTTGGGCCTTCCCGCTCAGCCCTCTGGGCTCTGGCAGCTTGTCCAGGTCCTCTGAGACCCCAGTGGCCTCGGGCCCCCCTTCCGCCGGGGAGCAGGCTCTTCCTTCGCTCGCGTAGACGGGAACGTGCCCGCTGGCCTGGGCCCAGCAGTTGCATTTGGCACGGGCGTGTGCTCCCGGGTCAAGTGCATTTGGTCTCCTTCCTGGGGGCCCTGAGTCATCCTGGACAGCCGCCCTCGCTCTGTGACGACCTCAGCACCTGCCGCCCAGCTTCTGGGCTCCCGAGACCAGCTCTGGGGAGGCGGGAGGCTGGGCTGGGGGTCCCGGGGCTCAGGCTCGTACACCTGGTGGGATTGGTCCTGGCAGAGGCTCAAGGGCATCGGTCCTTCGCCGACACCTCTTCGCTCTTCTCAGAGTGTAGCCCAAGGCGTGCAGGGTCACGTGCCCGTGATGTGACCGTGGGAAGCGAGTTGGATGTGAGAAATGTGTCACTCTCCTCTTGACCCCCCTGTAAGAAGAAAAGTGCTCAGAGTAGCCATGGACTCCGTGTTGGGGGGACTGTAGGGAGCGGTGGGGACTGGGGCTGTCAAAGGGGGCAGCTGTCACCCGGCTCCCGCTGCTTGTTGTCATGTGAAATGTGGGCTCGGTGTGGCTGGGTCCTGGCTCAGTATGGTCAGCTCTCCTGATTTTTCACAAGAAGCCAGAAACCTGGGTTTCTAAGGGAAATATCCTGAATTTGACATTTTGGCAGTTTCTTGTGCTTTTGTTTGTCTTTTAGACATGGCCAGACTGACACTGCCTGGGCCCGATGGAACAATGTCTGTGGACCTCTGGGGTTGGGGGTGGCCTCAGACCAACCTGGGTTGGAATCCTCCCTCCCTCGCCTTCCAGCTTTGTGACCTTGGCCAGCTCATTTAGTCTCTGAGCCTCGGTGTTCTCACTGCTGAGATAAGGCTGAAGAGGAAATGGTTCTTGCCTCGCAGGGTCTGGCCCGGCGTGCAGGGAAGGCTCAGAGCGTGGTCTGCTGGTGTCGTGTCTTTGCTACTGGGCCTTCGTCACTGGGCCTTCATCAATTAACCCTGAAGTTTCCTCTCGGGGTTGCCAGCCCGCAGCGGAACCAAGGGTGAGGGCTGGGGTCTCTCCACCCCTAGGCTTGCCCTCCCCTCCCCCGCCCTAAGTACCGCCTGCCCCAGCAGGTGCACACAGCCTCTTGCGGCCCGCCAAAAGGCCCTCTCGCTCAGCCCAAGCTCTCTGTGTCCTCCAGTCCCTTGGGATGTAGAGGGAGGCGGGGAGAGCTCCTTCTCCTTCACCCCTGTAGGTTGCTAAGACCAATCCTGCGTTCTCACTCCCTCCTCCCCTTGGTTTCTTTAGAAATCAACAGAAAGGGAAGATTTGCATTTGCTCTGCAGGGTTTGGGCCTGGCGTGGGTCAGTTATCCGCTTTGTGCCATGGGTCAGTTATCTGCTTTGGGTCGTGGGTCAGTTATCCGCTTTGGACCGTGGGTCAGTTATCTGCTTTGGGCCGTGGGTCAGTTATCTGCCTTGTGTCATATCGGGGTCTTTCTCCTGGGTGGAGGGACGGCTTCTCTCTAGACATTCGACCTGGGGGACACAGGGAGGGTACGGAGAACTTTCTCCACCGCTGGCAACAAACGCTGCAGACAGGCCGGGTGTGGACATGAGGGAAGGGCCAGCGATGGGACACTAGGGAGGGGTGGGGACGGTGGCAGCAGGCGAGCTCAGGCCCACCCGGAGGAGCAGCCCAGCCTTTGGTGCCCGGGGGGACGCAGGCCCAGTGCCGCCAGAGCTGTTGGTAAGAGTAGCTGCCAATCCAGACTCAGTTACTTGAATTTTTAAAGCCACATTTATGTATTTCATTTTGGAATAGTTTTATTTTTTATTTTATTTTATTTTTTTTGAGACAGAGTCTCGCTTTGTTGCCCAGGCTAGAGTGAGTGCTGTGGCGTCAGCCTAGCTCACAGCAACCTCAAACTCCTGGGCTCAAGCGATCCTGCTGCCTCAGCCTCCCGAGTAGCTGGGACTACAGGCATGCGCCACCATGCCCGGCTAATTTTTTCTATATATACTAGTTGGCCAATTAATTTCTTTCTATTTATAGTAGAGACGGGGTCTCGCTCAGGCTGGTTTGGAACTCCTGACCTCGAGCAATCCGCCCACCTCGGCCTCCCAGAGTGCTAGGATTACAGGCGTGAGCCACCGCGCCCGGCCTGGAATAGTTTTAGATTTATGGAAAAGTTGTAAAGCTAGTTCGGAGACTCCCGTGTACCTCCCTCACCAGCATCTCGCGCCCCGCGGCCCGTTTGCGGAAGTGGGAAGCCGGCGTTGGGCGGGTGCTGTTCACCGAGCTCCGCGCTTTACTGTGATTTCACCAGTTTCCCGTTGGTGTCCTCCTTTGTTCCAGGCTCGGGTCCCAGTGCCGCGTCGCGCAGGGTTGCTGTCCCTCTAGGCTCCTCTGACCGGGGCAGCGCCAGTCTTTCCTCACTTCTGTGGCCTCGACAGCTGCAAGAGGCGCTGCTCCGGGCTTGGCAGAGGGGCCTCGAGGGGTCCGGGCTTTTCTGCTCTTTTTCCTGTGGTTAGACGGGAGTTAGGGTTTGTGGAGAGAACGGCGCAGGGGAGGGGCCTTCGCATCACGCGTGCGGGAGGGTTCCCAGCGCCCCTGGCGTCGCGGCGCGTGCAAACCTCTGTCGCTGGCAGAGGGGGGGTCTCTGCCAGGTCTCCCCGCTGGAACGTTGCCGTTTCCCGTGTCCATGCCCCAATCCATTATGTGTGCTCATCAGACCTGCACGTTTCTTTCATACTTTGGGCTAAACTTTGGGCTTATACTTTGGGTCCGACGTTACTTGTTTGGTTGCGCAAATTGTTCCAGCCGTGGCGGTTTCGCTCTCCCGGGTGGGCTCCTGCCCCCTCCGACATGCCCCATCCTTAATTTTTTTGAATCCTGCCTTTCTGGTCCCACAGGATGCTCTAGGCTGTCTCATGTTTCCCCCATCCTAGCCCTGGAAGCGGCCATTTCTCCTAGGAGCCCCACTGGAATTTTAAAGTTGGAAATTAAGTCAAATCAAAATACCAAAACACTTTGCGGGCCACGTGAGGGCATCCGTGGGCCGCATTCAGACACAGGTGGTTTTGTTTAATCCTCATGGAGTTCTTGTGCGATAAAAAGCACTGCTATGCACCCCCGTTGTACAGATGAGGAAACTGAGGCACAGGGAGGCTGGGGGACTTGCCTCGGTTCGTGGTGAAGAAGGTTGGGCAGAGACTGAGGCTGGGCAACCTGACACCAGGTGCCACCTCTCAGGGCCAACCTGTCATCCGAATCGCAGGGGACCAGATGCCCATGAGAACCACAAGAAGTCTTACATACGTAGGCAGTAAGAGGAAGGAAAACAGGTACAGTTTTCAAAAATGTTTTAAAAGTAAACATTTTGTGCTGAGTTGTCATCCTATATTATCCATCACTACATTAAGAATTGTGTCAGTTAGTGGCTTAAAACAATGTTCATTCCGGTGCAGCTGAGCTAGGTCCTCTGGCCCTGGCTCTCGCAGCTGCCGTCCTCACGGGGCGCGACCGGGGCCTGAGCCGCCTCTGGGGAAGATCCGTGGCCGTGGGCGGGATTCAGTTCCCCGTGGGCTGTTGGCTGGAGGCCGCCCTCAGTTCCTGCCCATGGGCCCCTCCAGCGTGGCGGCCGGCTTCATCAAGGCAGGCAGCGGAGGGGGAAGTGGGGCAGAGAGAGTGTGCATGAGTGAGCCGGCGGAGAGAGGACGCTAGCAAGATGCCGGTGACAGCCTGTGTCACCCACTCTGGGAAGTGACATCTCATGCCTGTGGCTGGCTCCTTCATTAGAAGCGAGTCATTAGGTCCAGCCCACAGTCTCGGGGAGGGGAGAGCACCCAAAGGCGTCGGCGCCAGGAGGGTGGGAGTCATTGGGACCCGGCAGGAGCTGCCAGCGCTTTGCTAGACACTTCACCCTCACGGCATTCCAAGGAAGGAACGACCCCATCATTGCACCACTGTCCAGACAAGCAGAGGAGGGCTCAGAGAGGTGTGGTGACTAGCCCAAGGTCACACAGCTCATGGTGGGCAGAGCTAAATTTACACTCTGGTCTGACTCTTGAGTCCAGCTCCTGCTGTGCCCACTGGTGTTCCTCTATGTTCCTCTAACTGTGGTTCCCAGCCCCCACTCTAGTGCTGCTCGGAGCCTTGGCCGAAAACACAGATTCCCAGACAATAGGACCAGAGTCAGAGGGGCCCGGGAGTCGCCGTGTGACAGGCTTCTCCCAGGGGATCCGGGTGCTGCCCAGAATTTGAGAGCAGCGTGTATACTGCCTTTCTGCACAGTGAGGATACCATAACATGCAAATGGCGTCTCTTTTACACATGTACACACGTGCATGTGCACACACACACACACACACACACACGGAAGAGTTAGCCTTGGTCCTTAGGCTCTGTAGGAAAACAGAGGTGTCAGTGTCTAATCTCAGTGATCCAGAGAAAGATGTTCACAGTCACTTTTGGGGTCCTTGTTAGCAGAACAAAATGAAAATTAGATGGTGCAAGGAAGTACTTAGCACAGTGCTTGCGTGTGAGAGTCGTGGTTTTCGTTAACATTAATGAATATTAATGATAATTACCGACTTGTTAACATTATTAATTCCAGTGCAACAAAAACTGGACCTAGCAGCTTGGTTCAGAGAAGAGATTTTGCTTCTTTCCATTTGCTCCAGTTTAGTGGTTTAGTGGTTGAAGATGTTCTGTTTGGGACTCACTGCTGGTTGTTTGGGTGGGGATGGATTAATTTGTGGGTCAATAAATACTAGTAATACCCGGGTAGGTCTGGGTGCCAAGAGGCGATGGGTTTGGTTTCCACCTGGGGCTCTGGGTTGTTCCTGGGCCGGTCCTTGAGCAGGACACGCCCTGGGGCCTTGGCCATCAGCGGGGCCGGCGCAGATGCCGGCCAGCCCCCAAGACAGGCAGGAGGACGCGGAGACAGGGCAGGCGCCTGATGAGCTGTTTTGTTCCTTGCAGATCAGGAGCGACACTTCGCAGATCTTGGAGGAGAACATCCCACTCCTCAAGGCCAAAGTGACAGAAATGCGTGGCGTCTACGCCAGAGTGGACCGGCTAGAGGTGCGTCCAGGATAAGAACGAGGTTTCTTTGTGAGACCCGCAGACTCGATCTGGTTGTCACCCTCTCTTTGAAGGCGCAGGTCTGGCCTTGGGAGCGTCAGGTGTTGGGCCCAACAGAGGGGGTTTGTGATGAGAGAGGGGGGCTGCACGCACGTGGTATTTTTTTTTAAATGACAAAGAAGAATTTGTTTCTAACGTTTAGAAATCAGGGCGCTTTATATAAAAATCTGAATTTTAAGCTTCTTTTGAAAATTCAAAAGCTTCCATACCCCGGGCCCACATTTCTTTAAACACGTTAATGTGTTTGTTTTTCAAGGTATAAATACAAAAGTGCACACATCTTAAGTGCACATATCAGTGAATGTTTCCAGGTGTCAATACCTCTGTAAAGATGACCCAAATTGAGAGAGCGTTTCCAGCCCCCGGGCCGCATTCCTGCAGGAATGGGGAGAGCCCGTGGCAGCTGCCCCGCAGAAGGGCACGGCGCTCTGGTTCTCCGCAGACCCCACCCGGCCCTGTTGCCTCTCTGCCGGCCTGGCTCCCCTGCCCCTTCCTTGTCTGGCCGGGGAGGCCCAGCATCTCATTTCCTCTTTGCTGCCCTGCACAGTGGGTCCCCAGAGAAGGAGCACGAGCTCCGCAAGGTAAGCCACTTCTTCAGGGTCACACCGCTAGTTACGTGACGCTGGACTCCAGCTCACGTCTCCTGGAGCTCAGCCACGGCCTGGGCGTGGGCTCGGGCCCCGGGTCCCCCGCACAGGGAAGGGCCGGGAGGAGCTCGTGGCTGTGGAGGGTCCCCTGGGCAGAGGGGCTGTGGGCCCTCCGAGCTGCAGAGGGGAGTGACAGGCGTGGCGGTCGGCGCCGAGCTAGCGGAGAATTAACATTCTTGTCAGCAGAGAATGAAGCAGGAATATAATTAAAACTTTGCCCTTGGAACAGCTGATTCATTTGAATTTGATTCCACACACATGAAAGAGGAAAGAGAGCGTGCAAATGTGTAGCCTGGTTCTCGCCTCGCCTGGCCCGGCTGTCACGCCCAGCTCCTTTCTGGACATTCTGTGCCCTGTCGCCGACCCAGCGCCGAGCAGACACTTGGGGAAGGATGACCACGTCGGCTTCCAGTGTCTCAGATCCCCACAGACGCGGCGGCTTGAACAACACGTGCTCGTTAGCTTCTAGCTCAGGAGGTCGGACACCCGGGATGTGCCTTACGGGGCCAAACCAGGGTGTTGGCAGGTCGGTTCTTTCACCTCGGGGAGAATCCATTTCCTCGCCTTCGCCAGCGCCCAGGCCTGCGTCCCCCTCCTCAAAGCCTTCGCAGCAGCACCTTCTGCGCTGTCTGCGGGTCTGGTCCCTTGGCCTCCCCCGTGTAAGGGCCTGCATGGTGGCATTGGCCACCGGGCTAATCCAGGTAGTCTCCCTTTACGATCCTGAACTTAAGGGTCTCTGGGAAGGTCACAGGTGCACACGGTCCAGGGACTAGGACCTGAACATCTTTGGGAGCCGTGGTTCTGCTGCCCATGGTGGCCAAGGGTTTGGTTCTCTAGGCAAGTGCTGTGAGGGAAGTGGCGGGGGGGGGGGGGGGGGGGGGGGGGGGTCTGCGGCTCCTGCAGGGTGCAGGGAAGAGATGGGCTGGGGGAGGGGCTGGGGAGGGGGAGGGGTGCGGCCCAGGGAGAGGCCCTGGAGAGAAGGACCTTGGCTCTGCTGTCTGGGGGGACCCTGGAGGAATCCTAGGAGGCCGGATTGCCGGACTGAAGGGACTCGGACCCACATGTGGCTGGAGGAACTGGCAGCAGAGCTGGGCTGTCCTGGCCTTGCCGTCCAAGGTCAGGATTTTGGCGTTTGTCCCGAGGAGCCCGAAGCCGCTGGGGAGACAGTGCAGCCGGGTGGTTAGGAGTGCCAGCTCCAGAAGGGGCCTCTCTGCCTGCAGCGCAGCGCTGTTGACACTTGGGGCTGGAAAGTTCTCCGCGGAGGGGTGTCCTGGGCCTGGTGAGCCGCTTAGCAGCAGCTGTGGCCGCCACCCACAGGGTCCCGTTAGCACCCCTCCCTCCACTCTCCCCGGCATGACAGCCAAACATGTCTCCAGGTGTAGCCAGGTGTCCCCTGGGGACTCAGCGTCCTGTTTGGGAAGTGCTGCCCTGGAGTCATGGCCCAGGTCCCGGCCCTGGCGCTGCCTCTTCCCAGCGTGTGACGCAGCAGCCAGTTCTGAGCCTCGACAGCCTACACCAGAGAGGTTCTCCCACCCAAGCTTTGTCGTATTCAGCAGATGTTTGCTGAACTTGGGCGGCCCTGGGATGGGTGCGGGAAACAGCTGCAGGAAGATGCCTGGTCCCGCGAGTGGCCCGTGAGGGGCAAGGGACAGGGACGCAGGTTGGGGGAGACAGGCCCGCTGCTCGGACACACGCAGAAGGGGCCTGGCCAGAGCTCGGCCAGGGCAGGTTCCCGGGTGCGGCCAGGAGACCGGGGGCGGGAACAGCGTGTGCAAAGGCCCAGAGGCAGGAAAGGGTGAGCTTCTCGGGCACTTGGGGGGCAGGTGGAACTCAAGGTCAGGGATGAGCCTGGAGCTGTGGCTGACAGAGCAGGGCCCAGGCGTGGGGTTTGGGCCCTGTTCTGAGAATGACAGGGTCCATCGGAGGGGTTACAGCTGTTCTAATCTCCCCCACCAACGTCCAAATTGATTATCCTTAAAATGCACCATTTGGAGGCTTTGTGTATATTTACAAGGTTGTACAACCATCACCGCTACCTCATGCCAGAACATTTTCCCAAAAGAAACTCCATGCTCATTAGGAATCATTCCCCACCCCTGGCCCCCGGCAACCAGTCATCTATTTACTTTCTGTCTGTGGGAATTTGCCTGTTCTAGATGTTTCATGATCATACCGTATGTGGCCTTTTGTGTCTGGCTTTCACTCCGCATAATGTTTTCAACGTTTATCCGTGCTGTAGCATGTGTCAGTATTTAATTCTTTCTTATGGCTGAATGATACTCTGTTACAGGGATGTACCATATTTTATTTGTCCGTCCATCAGCTGGTAGATATTTGGTTTGTTTCTACTTTTTGGCCATCCTGGATAATGCTGCTGTGGACATCCGTGTGCTAGTTTTTATGTGGACATATGTTTTCATTTCTTTCAGGTCAATGCCTAGGAGTGGCTTCGGTTGGTCATATGGTAACTCTTTTTAGGCAGTTCTGAACTGTTTTCCAAGGCGTCTACACTATTTTCCACTCCCACCAGTAATTACTGCGAGTTTTAGATGGAGCTTGCAAACTCGGATGCCAGCAGGAACCGGGACTGCTGGAGGGCCAGGTGTTAGAAGGCCACGGTGTTCCTTCCATCCCTTTCTGGGGACAGCTGGAGCTCAGTGTCAGCTGTCCCCTTCCATGGGGTTTGACTTTCCAGTCTGCGACAGTCCCCACTCTGCCCTAGAGTCTCACTAGCGTTAAGGCTGAGTGGCACTCACTTGTGTCAACGGCCCTGCGCTGTTGCTTTACTTAGAGTAGAGAGAGATTTCTTTGTAACTGGGTTTCTATTAAAAGGAGGAAAAACCTAGGTTAGTCCAAGAAGATCGTGGATTTTGAGGCAAGTGGGAGATTACGTACTTCCCTCTAGTTCAGGTGTGTGTCATACAATCTGCAGGTACAATCTGGGCAGGTGGATTCCAGAGCAGGGAGCGAGACTCACACCTGCCCGTGGTAACTCACGCGGCCTCGCAGGGTCAGTCTCCTCCTCCGACCGCCAGGAGTGTGCCGCTCCTCCGTCGCGGTGAGGGTTAAATGAGCTAGGCCACCGCCAGGCTCCCGGGGCGCTCGGGGAGCACGGGCTGTTCCTGGGGCTGCAGTTGTTGTCCGCAGGCTGAGAGAGGCGGAACCTGTCTGGGCCGGGTGGTCACACTCTGCCCTGCTGGCCGAGGGTCCCGGGGTGGCTACAGTGTCGGTGGCTTCCACAGAGCGCGAGACCACCTGCCCTGAGAACCAGTGTGACCTGCCAGGTGGGGGCTTGGAAACCTCGAGGCGACCTCGCAGGCCAGAGCTCAACCCTTTATCCATCTTATTAATAAGAACTGACATTTCCTGAGTATTTGCTAGAGGTGGGGACCGCGGGTGCTTGACGCCGCGGTGGCCCAGGAGGGAGGTCCTTTCCTAATCTCGTCTTACGGAAAGAGGCCGGAGAGAAGCCGTCTGCCCAAGTCGCACAGGTAGGAGGTGCCAGGGCTGGGCGTGCAGCCTGCGTCCCGGGTGCTGGACGCTGGCTCCCTCTCTGGGCGGGGCCCTGCCGTTCCCTGGCGGAAGTGTTCCGATCCCTCAGTACTGACAGGTAGATTTTTAAACAAAGGGGCTTCCCCGCCCTCCCTGCAGGTTGGAAAAGGAGCGCATTTCCGTCAAAGGGAGAGACATAGGCACACCCCGTCCTGCCAGCACCCGCCGTGGGGTGGCCGAGGTCAGCGGTGGGCCTTCTTCCCGCCCCCTCGCCCTGCAGTGGCCACCTGTCGGTCTGAGCGGCGCACGTGTGTCTGCCCCCTGCCCGGGTCCCCGCCTCTCCCGCCTGCGCCAGGCCGGGCGCCCCTGCTGGCGGTGTCCTGGGGCCGGTGCAGACCCCCGAGCGCGCATTCCTCCGCCGTGCACGCTCCCGCCGCACTGGTATGAGCGCAGGGAGCGTAAAATTGGAATCGGCTGGCAGAGGGAGCGCAGGCCTTTCGTCTGTGCTTTACAGCCAGATGTGCTGGCGGGGCCGGGCCGCCCGGCTGAAGCTTCCTGGCCGGTGGCCCTGCGGCCCAGCCACCCCGCCACCCTGTCTCTGTGTGCACGCACACGCACACACATGCATGTGCACGCACACACAACGTGGCTCATTCAGCCTTTCGGCTCTGCTGCACCAGAACCCCAGGGCAGCAGAGGCACCACAGAAGCTGCCATCTTGGGTTCATCCAGTGTCTTTTTGCTAAGGATGCATGCATGCATTCATTCATTCATTCATTCATTCATCCACCGGTGTGCATTCACGGCCCGCCATTCGCGGGGCCCTTCCACTGGGCCAGGCTCGGGTCCTGACCTGCGAGCACAGCTGACTCAGCACCTTCTCTTTCAGAACTCACGTTGTAAAGGGGGTGGACCGTGAACGGACAAGAATGGCGGAGGCCGATGAGGGCAGGGGTAACTGGGGGACGCCACAGTGCCCTGGGGGCTGTGTTAGGGTCAGGGGAGGCCTCTCCGAGGAAGGGACGGTTGGCTCAAGGCCTAAAAGACAAGGGGGGGCCACCCCATCAAGAAAGGAGCAAAGGGCGCCGTCGGGGCGGCGGAGCACGCAAAGGGCCTGTGGAGAGCCAGGAACTGCGGGGACACACGTGGGAGGCAGAAGGGCGGGCAGGGCGGGGCAGGATGGGGAGGCCTCACAGGCCACAGGAGGACCACGTTTCTTTCTAGTGAAGGAGTGCCCAGAGTGAGATGTCCTCGTTCTGTCCCCCGTACAAGGAAATCCTTCCCCTTTTACTAATGGAGCAAGGGAGACCCACAGCGACCCACAGAGGTGGTGCTTCCTGTGAGATGGCACCGTCGTTGCCACCTTCGGTGCTTTTAGCCGTGCACACACGTGCACATTAACACGTGTGCTGAGCACGGAGGAAGGTGTGAAAAGACACACAGCAGAGGTCACAAATGGGAGAGTTGAATTTTACTGGGCCTGTGTGGTATTTTTTAAGTGTGGATTTATTGCTAATGTTGATTAAAAACTGGAGAATTTTTCATAAAATCAAATGTTCTTTCTTTTTAAAATGATAGCATCTGACATTTAATGAGATCTTAATATGTGCCAGGCTACTTAACTTGTCGATAAGGTTGGTGTTATTATCCCCATTTTACAGATTAGAAAACTGAGGCTAATGGAAGTTAAGTAACTTGCCATAGGCATATAATTATTAAGAGGTAGAACTTGAATTCTAATCCAGAGAGTCTGACTCCAGAGTTCTTTTTTATTTGTTGAAACTGGAAGCTCTGCACTTGGGGCCTGAACCCGAGGGGCCCCTCTGGGCCTGAACTCAGCCTTCCAGGTGACCCCAGCCCCTACTCAACCCTCCTCACCTGCCTACTGCATGCCTGGCCCCTGGTGGCTTCTAGGTTCCAATACACAGTACATCAACCATTCAAGTGAGCATTTGGCAATTTCTTAAGAATCCATTTTCAACAAAAAAGGCTTTGAAATTTGATGAATGTGCCCTGAGGCCCCTCTCTGCTACTTCCTGGCTGTGTGACTGCAGGGAGGTGACCTAACCTCTCTGAGCCTCAGTTTCCTTCCTCTGTGAAATGGAGACTAACTGTAGGGTCACTAAGGAGAAATGTGGGGGGACACAGGAGGGGGCGTGGCCTTTCCTGCCGGGCCCTCCCACCACACAGGCCCTGCCAGGCCTCGCGGGGAGCCGGGGAGGAAGGCCGGTCACGCGGCAGCACCGCGGGCCAGCCGTGCAGACCGCATCAGCCCCGTCTCTCCCCAGGCCTTCGTCAGGATGGTCGGGCGCCACGTGGCCTTCCTGGAGGCGGACGTGCTCCAGGCAGAGCGGGACCACAGGGCCTTCCCGCGTGCCCTGCGGAGGTGGCTGGGGGCCGCCGGGTGCCCCTCCTTCGGGAACGTGAGTATCCTGCCCCGTCCCCGCTTCCTCCCAGACCCCAGAGGGGGAGATCGCTCAGGAAACAGAGTTCAAAGGGCGCAGTTCACTCCTGCAGACGGGAAGCGGCTGGGGTGCTCGGCCCTTCCCTGCCCCCGCGGCCCCTCCTCTGGCCCTCCGTGGCTGCTCACGTGCTCACCGTCGTTTATTGAGTGCCTACTGTTTGCCGAGTACCGCGGTGCATCTGGGGTCACCGCAGGGAGCAGACGCAGCCTCGCCCTCCTGCCCCGCTCACTTGGGGACGGAGCCCCACGACTCCCAGAATTCCGGCCAGGTCCGCCGTCCTGGGATCCTTCCATGACCCTGCAAGCAAGGAAGGATCGTGTGCCCCTTGTTAGAAAATTATTTTAAAAATTAGTTTTATTTAAAACTTTTGGCCGGGCGCGGTGGCTCACGCCTGTAATCCTAGCTCTCTGGGAGGCCGAGGCGGGCGGATTGCTCAAGGTCAGGAGTTCAAAACCAGCCTGAGCAAGAGCGAGACCCCGTCTCTACTATAAATAGAAAGAAATTAATTGGCCAACTGATATATACATAAAAAATTAGCCGGGCATGGTGGCGCATGCCTGTAGTCCCAGCTACTCGGGAGGCTGAGGCAGAAGGATCGCTCGAGCCCAGGAGTTTGAGGTTGCTGTGAGCTAGGCTGACGCCACAGCACTCACTCTAGCCTGGACAACAAAGCGAGACTCTGTCTCAAAAAAAGAAAACAAAAAACTTTTGTTTAGAGATGGGGTCTCACTGTGTTGCCCAGCTTGATCTCAGACTTCTGGGCCCAAGCGGTCCTCCCGCCTCAGCCTCTCAAGTAGCTGGGACTACAGGCACGTGCCACTGCACCTGGCCCGTGTGTCTCTTTCACGGATGAGAAAACTGAGGCCAGATCCTGCGACAGAGACCTTCGGTGTTTCAGATGTTCATCTTTCCGACTTGTCACCGGCTGATGCCTATGTCCCGGGGACATCTGCCAATGCCTGGAGACAGTTTAGTTGTCACAGCTGGGGTGGTGGGGTACTGGCACTAGTGGGCAGAGGCCACCCCGCAATTACAGGACAGCCCCTCACAACAGAGAGTGATCCAGTCCCCGTGTCAGTAGTGCCGAGTCTGGGAGACCCTGCCCTGAGCGCTACTTGGTGATTGCGATAATGGTTCCGCCAGGCCTGTTGTAAGCGCTTTGTGTGCTGTTTTGTGTGGCACTGAATCCTCACAGCGGCCTTTCGAGGAAGTCACCCCCATTTTATAGACGAGGAGACTGAGGCTGGGGGTAAAGGGGCTTGTCCGAGGCTAGACAGCCTGGAGCGCTTGGTCTGTGGGGCCTAGCCCCCAACGGGAAAGGTGCTGGTCCTTCCTTGCCCCGCCCCGTCCTGCCCCACCCCTGCTGCCTCCCACTGCTCCCAGGCTCTGTCTGGGGGCCCCGTCTGCTCCCCTGTCCCTCCCGCCTGTCCCCCACCTGCCCATCTCCACTTTATTTATCACAACGTTCCAGGTCTGTGTTGGGCACCTTGTGTGTACTGAGTTGGTTGCCTTTCCCAGCCATCCGTGTGCAGGCTGTGAGCAGTGTCCCGTGTGACAGGTGAGGAAATGGGAGTTCAGAAAGTCTCAGGAGCTCTGCCTGTGGGCAGAATCTGGCCCATGGGAACTCACTCTGTTTGGCCAGGAAGCCTGTTTAAACGGTGTGGCTTGGGACACGTGATTGGGCATCTGCTCTCCGGTCACAGGCCCCTGGCCCCATGGCTCCATCCTGTCTTACACCTGGCTGAGGCATGTGCCACTCACCTGCCCACCTCTGGGTGAGTGACTTGCCCAAGCCCAGTAACAGCTGGACAGGAGTCTCACAGCTCTCGTGCTCTAGGAACTCCTACTGATCCTTCAGAGCCCAAGTTAATGTCACCTCCTGTGAGAAGCCCTCTGGGATTGCCCTTCTCCAGACAAACTCAGTCTCTTGACCTGTCAATGACTGAAGTCACAAGCTGCATCCTTTGTCCTCCTCTCCCTCAAGTGACAGTGACCATTCCTGGTGATAGGGACTTTAGAAGCACTTCATGGGGAGAAGGGACAGAGGACCTTGGCTACCTGTGGCCTGCAGCAAGCATCCCAGTGGTGGGTCCTGCTGGGCCCTTGGTCTGGCTCACCACTGTTCCTGTGATCTGCGCAGCCGTCCCTGTGAGCTTGGCACTAGGGTCCTCGTTCACAGAGGCAGAGACTGAGGCTGGAGAAGGACAGTCACCTGTCCAAGGTCATTGCTGGGTTTGGAACCCAGGCCTGAGGGACTCCCAAGCTGGGGTCCCCTGCCACTCGTGCTGCAGGGATGTGGCATCCCGGGTGTGGCTGGGCACGCCGGGACCCGCACGGTCCCATCCCCACCAGGCTCTGGGCCGCGCTGAGCCATCGCGAGGCCCGGCTACCTGTGCTGACTTGTTCCAGGAAGTGCGGCGCGGCCAGGCTGGTGAGTCAGTCGGCAAGCCCGGGTGTCGGTCTTGGCCCCGCGAGGGCTTTGTCTGCGAGCGGCGCAGCCGGGCACATGCACACGCGGGCGCGGGCCCGAAGGCTGCCAGGGTTGTGACTTCACCCAGGGTAGAAGCTGGCGGCCTCTTCTAGAGTATTGCCAAGGCTGGTGTCAGGGCTGGCTCTGCGGGTTCCTCACAGCCTACCCTGTGAAGCAGGTCTGATCTTTGTTCCCGGTTTACAGCTGAGGAAACTGAGTCACGGCGGGGTTGAACTGCTTGCCCACCCAGTGAGTGGTGGAGCCAGGATTCGAACTTGTGATGCCTGGGCTCAGAGCTCGTCCTCTGCTCTGCACCCTGCTGGGCAGTGCTATGCACAGTCTGACCTCTGGACCAGCTTTCTCGGGGGGTGGGGGTCCTCTCAGGGTACCCAGACGGCCCTCCCCTGTGGCCCCTAGGCAGCCGGGGGCGGAGAGTGTGGTTCTCGTCCCTGCTCCTCCCCCAGACCCCCCTGCTCTGCTGAGGGATTTCGAGGCGTCCCAGCCCAGGCCCCAGCGGCCAGTCAGGTGGAACGGGTCACGTGGCGCCCGGGGCTGCCTGCTCTCGTGACCCGATTCCGCCTTCCTGCCCCCGCCCCTGTGCCCAGGGATGGAGAGGGCAGGGGGAGGGACCACTTCGGGGGGTGCCCGGCCCGGGACGCTGGCATGGGCTGCGCCCTGCCTCCCCGGACCCCGGCCCCCTGAGGGAGTGGGCTGCCCTGCCGAGAGCCAAGGAGGGGTGGGGACCCCTTGTGGGGCCCAGGAGGGCGAGGCCTCAGCCTTCGCCCATGGAGCTGTTGGCAGGGCCTATTGGGGGTGCTCCCACCCCCTCCAGTCCTTCATCAGCTAGAACAGGAGTTGGGGGGTCCTTGTTTTTCCTAACCGTTGCCAGCCCTGCCTTCCCCAGTTTGCCTCCTCTTCCTCTCTCTGCAGATGTGGGGGGAGGCCCGGGGGTGGGGGGACCAGCTGGGCCGGGTCTCCCTGCACACCAGGTGCAGGGCCAGGAAGCCGGGCCCCCACCCCTCCCGGCCCCCACCCCTCTGCCCCAGCATGGGGACCCAGACCTTCTGCCTGTGTGACTTGGCGCTGCTGTGGATAGTGGCTGTGGCCTGGGCTGGCCCCAGGGTGCCATGGCAGAGGGGGCCTGGGGCCGCCAGTCTGACACCTAGTAATGCGCCTGCCCCAAGGCCTCTTAGACCTGCCTCTGAGCTGCTGAGAGAGATGGTTTGAGCCAGACAGGACAGACTCAGCTCTCGGGGTGAGCAGTTGTCACGGGGTGGCCTGGCCGGCACAGAGCCAGCCCTGCTGCGAGAGGCACTGCTCTCAACTCGTCAGTCCTTGCGACATCCCACGGGGGAGGTGCTATTTTAATCTCCCTGTTACAGGTGAGGAAACTGAGACACAGAGAGGTTAAGTAACCTACCCACGGCCACACAGCTGGGCACCAGGGCATGAACCTCATCCTCACCTCTGTGGCACACTGCCTTGGGAGAGGGCTGTGATCTCCCCCCTCGGGGCCTTGTGTCTGGCGAGAGAACACAGGCAATGACCAAATTCTAAGAAAATTTGGTGCACAGCCATTTCTAAAGGAGGGCTGGCCTGACCTTGTCTCAGGGGCCAGGATGGCCTCTGAGGGCGGCCGTGGAGGCCGAGGGCGGGCTGGGGAGGAGGTGTGGGTCTGCAGTCAGAGAGGGGAGGGCCGTGCGGCACTGAGCATGGCACAAGCGTGGCTGGCCCGGTGGGCAGTGGGGGAGCAGGAAGAGGCAGGGCCCAGGCTGCAGGGCCTCAGGGCCACGCACGGGCGTCTCACCCTGTCCCAGGACGGGGCCCTTGGGAGGGTTTGCAGCAGGGCTCGCCCTCGGCCCTGGGCTCAGGCCCCGTCCAGGGCCATGACGTGTTGCTGCAACTGGAGCAAGGGCTGAGCGGGCATGCGGTGCCCTCCGCGCTGCAGGGGTCACTGCTCAGAGCGTTTCCTGTCCTGGAATCGTCTCCCGCTGCGCCCTGAGCTCTCTGGAATTCTCTGCCTGCGGGTCTCGGCCCGTGGCCAACGAGAGGAGAGACAGGCGGCCGCAGCAATGGGACTTGCGTCTTCCAGAAGGGCGGCCAAGTCCCAGGGGCCCTGGGGAGGGCGGTGGGGCCGCGCCAGCACGCGGGCCCCTCACGTCGGGGGCGGTTCAGGCGTGTGCAGAAGCGAGAGTGTGAACGGCCTGGAGCCGTGTGCGCCTCACTCGTGCGCAGGAGGCTGTGGCAGGTGTCCCCTTGGCCTGGGCGGTGTCCCGCCGCCTGTGCCAGGCCGGCCCTCCCCTTGGCGCATGTGCCCGGAGGCACGGAACGGCCTCGCCGATTCGCCGTAAGCCACTGTTTGTTTTCTGCCAAGCCAAAACATCTTGTTCACGAGGTGTCATTTTGATTTCCGACGGCGAGGAATGCGATGCTTTCCAAGGAAGGGCTAACAGGAAAACCGGCGGGGGCAGGTCCCTACGCGCGCTCA